CCCCGAGCGCCCCCCCCAGTGCGCCGGGTTCGGCCTGCGATCGTCGGACGCAAAAACGGGCCGAGCCGACGAAATTCGGTGTCTCGGGGACGCGACTGGGACGTTTTTTGGCACCGGCGCGGACAAAAAATGCCTGTGAAGGACCTGTTGGGGGCACGGTTGGAGATGCTCTAACTAGCAGAGATAGACAGATATGGTGGGGGCCGTCGGTGTATCACCCGGCCGGACTAAGTAAGATCCGATGACTTGACATGGGCTTGTCACTGGTGAATCAACGAGCGGATTAACGTAAACAGTAACCCACACTACAACGCATGAACAATACCCGACGCTACAACCAGGCATCAAGCCTGGTAAGCTATGTCAAAAAACAAAAACAAAAAATACCCGATGCTACAAGGAGGAACCCGAACAATACACATCTACAGTGGTTTGTGCTACAATACTGCTATGTGAGGTCAACGGCCATGTTACGCCATTGGCATGTCAGTGGAGCTTTGTCCATATCAGCCTATCAGCATTCATTGAAACGAAAGTTTTGCACTGCATGTTATGGAAAAACAATGAATTTTGATATCACCACTTGGATTTTCCAGGGACTAATTGCTCGATACTCCAGCTGTCCAGCTGTATATTCCAGATTGACAAGCAGGGCCGGCCCTGTGTTTTGGAAGGCCCTAGGCGAACTCGGTGACATGGGCCCCTATATAAATTTCATCCAAATTTGACTATAATAATTCAACTGACTCCATCGACAGCAATAATAACTAAATTCGAACCGACTCCATCGACAACAATAATACTAAAAAGATGGCAAAATAAAACTAACATACCATGATTACCTCAAATAAGAACCAAATTCAACTGACTCAATCGACAACAATAATACTTCAATGCTTCAGAAAAGTTTCTTCGGACGTTTCTTGATGCAATAATACTTCCTTTCTTTCTTCTCCTTTTTTCAGCACCAACAATTGCTTCTTCTTAGGCAACATGGCATGATAGTGTCCTAAAATCATGAAGAAAAGAGGGTACAAAGAATTAAGAATTTATAATCGGATGATTGAAACCCTAGACATACATGTGGATAGTTGAATACGTACATACTACTGAAATTGTCAAATTGGAATATGGGGGCATGGATCAGGTCATCAGGAACATGGATCGATCATGGATACGTATACGGGCTGAAGAAACTGACGGATGGAATGGATCATGGATTACCTCGTTGGCTCGTTGCAGACTTTGAGTTATCGGACTGCTATGCGGCGCGCGCAGCGGCAAGCCGGCGGCGGCCGAGACGGCAAGGCGCCGAGCGCCGAGCGGCAGGCAGGACGAAGAGATTAGAGGCCAACCGTCCAGACTCCAGACGAAGGAAAAGAAGATGAGCAGCCGGTATCGATCGCTGGCGCTAGCGTAACGCTTCGTAATCGATCGCATGGGCCTCGCGCCCTAGCCCATCTCGTTTTTTACCATTTTTTTGCTGGGCGTTAGTATGTATATGTACTACATCATGGGCCCCCCTCCCGCCTGGGCCCTGGGCCGCCGCCCCACCGCCCATGCCCCAGGGCCGGCCCTGTTGACAAGATTCAGCTTACATATACGTAGGACAGCCAGATTCCAGTCTTTATTCATCCGCGCCTTGTACCACCGCTCCATCTCCTTCCTCGCCGCATGGATCCTCATCATCACCACCCAGGTATGCACGGACACGGAGTGCATGCGGCGACATTCCTTATTTTTGCCGATGATCCCCGTTGATGGAATGCACAATCATCGGAGTGGATGGTGCGTAGGTGCTCGGGTACGGGTGGGCCGGGCTGATGCGCAAGTACGTGGTGGAGCCGGCGCACGCTCGTCCAGGTCTCGCTCTTCAGGTCAGCACCAGTGCACCACCCTACCCTACTTCCTTTGGCTCACCGTGACGATTGTTTGCTCACTGCCGCTGCTGCGCCGCCGGCCCGTCGCCCTCCCCTCCTCCCCGTGCCTGCTCGCTGCTCCGCCTCCGCCTACGCCCCGTCCCTGACCCACCCCCACCCTCCACCCACCGGGCGGTACCGGGGTAGTGCACCCCGCCCCCCTCTGGCCACTGCCCCTGCCGCCGGACTGCGCCGCGAAGCCGAGGAGGAGCGCCGACTCGCGGTCTGGCGCAACCGCAGGAGCTGATGCCAGGTTCTACATACAGCTGGGCTGCAGCTCTCGACAGGGACATGGTAATCTCTAAACTGATGCATGATTGAGCTGAAACTGAATCAGGGGACTGAACTGAACTGAACTGAAATAGAGTATGCGTATGTATCGAACTGATGAACCTCACACATGGCTGCGATCCTGCTGCTTTCACTGAAATAGAACAATGTGTATCCTGGCGACTAGTTAGCAAACAATCGTCGTGGCAACCTAACCAACTGTTCTCTGGTCCCAGGCTCCTAGGTAGTGTTTCATACAGAGGATGGCTTATTAACATGGTAAACAGCCGGGCTATGTGACCAAGGGTTTGCCCTGCCCTTGATAAAATGGTTACATGGTGCCGTGCTTCCAGTTCTGGGCTTAACTGTCCAGGGACCGCTGGATATGATGTAGCCCCCCATCTTTTCACTGGCAAAAGCATATTGACAAGATACATCAGGCCACTCATGATTCGCTGTTATAGTGTCATCAGTGGTTCAAGCAATGCAAGATCCAGAACACTCAACATGTGTTGTGGAGGTAGAATGACATGCTAATGTAATGTTTCTACTTATATTTGTATGTGCCCAGTTTTTCCATAACTTCTTGATGAATGATGATCAGTGAATTTACATGGCAACCTTTCGAATCAATATGTAATTTTGGAAGTCACTCTGTACGACGACGTAGCAATGACACTAACAGCACTCTTGTATGTACGTACCAGGACACTGCACGAGAAGGAGGAATTCCCCGGGGGCTCAAAGCAGATGTCCCGCTCCAAGTTCTTCCTGGTGGTGCTCATCTGCAGCTTCGTGTGGGCCTTCGTGCCGGGCTACCTCTTCCAGTCGCTCACCTCCATCTCGTGGGTGTGCTGGGTCTTCTCCAAGTCCGTCACGGCGCAGCAGCTCGGCTCAGGCATGAAGGGCCTGGGTCTCGGAGCTTTCACGCTCGACTGGACCGCCGTCTCCTCCTTCCTCTTCAGCCCGCTCATCTCGCCCTTGTTCGCCACCGTCAACGTCTTCGTTGGCTACGTCTTGTTCATTTATGTGGTGATGCCCACGGCGTATTGGGGGATGAACCTGTACAACGCCAAGACGTTCCCCATATTCTCCTCTCACCTCTTCGCCTCCAATGGGTCGCCCTATAAGATCGCCGACATTGTGAACCAGCAGTTCCGGCTTGACACGGAGGCGTACGACAAGCTCGGACGCATAAACCTCAGCATCTTTTTTGCAATCTCATATGGCTTCAACTTTGCCACCATTGCCGCAACCATCACGCACGTCGGCTTCTTCTACGGCAAGTAAGTGAAGCTTCTTTTTTCTTTTAGTCTGTCTGTCTGTACATTAATAAACCGAGACAAGTCAGAGGTGAATGATTACATGAGATTTCTGAACTGAAAGGTACACGTCTGCAAATTTTGTGCAGGGAGATCTACCACCGGTTCCGAGCTTCACAGCAGGAGGAGCCTGACGTCCACACAAAGCTAATGAGGAAGTACGAGGACATACCAGCGTGGTGGTTCTACTCTGTGACGGCATTGTCCATGATAGTGTCCCTCATCCTCTGCACCGTCCTCAAGGACCAGGTTCAGCTCCCATGGTGGGGCTTCCTCTTTGCCTGTGCCATGGCCTTCACCTTCACGCTACCCGTAAGCATCATTTCTGCAACCACTAACCAGGCAAGTCTATTTCAACAATTTTAATGCCTCTTCTTCATTTATCCCGCATGTCCTCTCATGATTAATTTCTGCAACAAAAGAAAAAAAACTGACAAAAGCCTTGGAAACTTATGCGCAGACGCCTGGTCTGAATGTCATCACTGAGTACGTCATGGGGCTAATAATGCCTGGATACCCCATCGCCAACGTCTGCTTCAAGGTGTACGGCTACATCAGCATGTCGCAGGCAATCTCCTTCCTCGCAGACTTCAAGCTTGGACACTATATGAAGATACCTCCCAAATCAATGTTCATTGTTCAGGTAATTAATTGATCTTCCTTCTCACCTTTGTAAAGCCAATGAGTGATGTATAGAAACATAGAGTTTACTGACATCCCTGTAATTTATGCATGCAGTTTGTCGGTACAGTGGTGGCCGGGACTGTCAACCTCATTGTCGGATGGTGGCTACTTGGCTCGGTTGAGAACATCTGCCAGGACCAACTGCTCCCACCAAACAGCCCATGGACATGCCCCAACGACCGTGTCTTCTTCGACGCATCGGTCATCTGGGGCCTTGTTGGCCCGAATCGCATTTTCGGGTCAAATGGCAACTACATAGCCCTCAACTGGTTCTTCCTCTTTGGCGCGGCAGGCCCTGTCATCGTGTACATCCTCCACAGGATATTCCCCACTCACAAGTGGATACTACTCATCAACATTCCGGTGCTCACCGGCGCTACGGCCTTAATGCCGCCAGCGACGACCGTAAACTTCAACTCGTGGCTGCTCTACGGCATCATCTTCAACTTCTTTGTGTTCCGGTACCGCAAGAAGTGGTGGCAGAGGTACAACTACATCCTCTCTGCTGGGCTTGATGCGGGCGCCGCGTTCATGGGGGTGCTGCTTTACTTCACACTGACCATGGAGAACCGGACAATCAACTGGTGGGGCACGGGCGGCGAGCACTGCCCTCTGGCCTCATGCCCCACCGCTAAAGGGGTAGATCTTGGACCGGACAGTGTGTGCCCTGTGTTCTAAGCTGCAGTAAATATCTTTCATGCCTCAAGGCAGAGAGCTGCAAGATTAGTCATTATCCACTCCAGTTGTCTTAATGTCATACTATTACAGATTTCTATATATGTGTAAAGATCGTAGCCAAGTGCACAAAAAGCAAAAAACTATCAGCAGCTTTGGTGCGGTAATCAGTCATTTGGGCAATGCGTGCTATAGTCGTAATGTTATAACGTGGGACATGTTGCAAGTTGCAACACTAGCTTTTATAGATCTCAATTGAATCGGAGAACTGTAACACAAACTGTTCATCATCAGCATTCGATCAGTGGTTGCAAGTCGAACACACAATTTAAAGTCACCGCGACAGTTTGTTTCCGCTGGTTTTGCGGTATATTTATGCTTTCTACTGTATATATGAAGAAACAGCTTCGCAACAAATGGTTTTACTTGAAAAAGATATCACCAAAGTAATGCTGTAACCTGCTGGGCTTGAGGGGTGGTGGCTAGGGTTTGTTTAAGAGCATCTCTAGCCGCGCCCCTAGAACGGCCTCCCCAGGCGATTTTTTCGCGCCGGCGCCGAAAAATCGGCCCAGTCGCGCCCCCAAAGGCCCATTTTTCGTCGGCTCAGACCGAAATTGGCGCCAGCGGACCCAGGCCGAACCGAAAAATGGGTCTTCCTTGGCAGTGAAATTTTTCGCCATGGCCGAGCGTTTTCCAGGCCACGGCGCGGCGGCGAACAGCTTCGGTCGCCGCCACCTTCACGAGGACGAAGCTCGGCTCCTCTTTGAGGCCGAGTATCCGGTCCCGCTGGACATGCGGGTGCCCGGAGCGTGGAGGATCAGCGCCGGCGGGGTCCTGGTGCCACCACCGCCCACCGGGGCGGCGCGGCGTGCGGAGATCGCGCGTATCCGTGCCTCTCTGCCGCAGGCGGTGAGGGAAGGTCCACGGCATGTCCCCGACAGCCCGATGTGGGAGCCCTACTTCCATCGCCGCCACGCCGAGCAGCTCGAGGCCACCAACGGCGTCATGCCCTCTGGGAGGCTCAACTCCAAAGGCCGCCGCCGATGGTGGGGCGTGCCCGGCCGCACGCTGGAGTCTGCCCTCGAGTACATCGAGGGCGGCAACACGCCCATGCTGGAGTACCCCGCTCCACCGTCCTTCTCCCGCCGGCATGGGAGCTCATGGACGCCGAGGCACATGTACCCGGGGGCGTCCTCCTCCTCGTCCGGCCGCTCGACCGGCTCTCCCTGCCTCCACCCCGTCAAGCCGGAGCCCCAGGACAGGCCGGTCAGCCACCGCACCCGCAGTGCCGGCGTCCGCATCGCCGATCCCTCCCCCACCTCTGGACGCCTCGTCCTCGTCAGGCCGAAGGTGGAACCCGGCCTCCCCACGGAGTACGAGGCCATAGCCCGGCGCGGCTTCTCCGAGGAGGAGGCCCTAAAGTGGGCGCGGGATGACTACCTTCGCGACGAGATGGTCCGGCAGCGCCGAGCCCTAGAGGAGATAGCCGCCCGCAGGCGTGGGCGCGAGGACGAGCACGGCATGGTGATCCTCGACAGCGACGACGACGAGAACGCCCCCGGATCGTCCAACCCGCCGCGCCAACCTGGGGAGGGTGCAGCAGGGACGGCGGCCGGGGAGACGGCGGCGACGATGACGACGACGACGACGACGGCGGAGGCGACTACACGCAGTTCTACAGGCGCCTCGGCATGTAGAGCTTCAAGGGCGCGCGGGCGGCGAGGGCGAGGGCGGGCCTAGTAGCGTTTTTTTCTTTTCTGTAAAATATTTTAAATATGTATGAACTCGCCGAAGTTTGGTTGAATTTAGCCGTGTTTTAAATGAACTCGCCGAACTTTTTTTTTAAAAAAATTAGACGCGCCTGGGGGCGGCCCTGGGGCCGGCGACTGGGGACCAACTCGCTCCCAGACCGGTTTTTTGCGCTAACTCGCCCCAGGCGGCGATTTTAGGCGCCTCCTGGGGGGCCAACAGCTTAAGATGCTCTAAGCGAAGCTAGCTTTGTTTGGTTAAAAGAAATTGGACTTCGGGTTTTCATGCAGTAGTTAAGGCGTGTCAGAGTAAAATAGATTAAAATGAAGCGAATGGACGATCAAACCTGAGTTCTATTGATTCCCGAGTGTATATGCATCCAAGATAGACGGGAAGAAGAGTTGCATGCTAGGAGGTATCCCTCCAGTATAGGTGCCTTTTGACAATAGAGAAAATGCCTCCTTGATAACGCGTACAAGGAAAAACATTAAAGAAGGATAAAACTCATTGGTGAATTTAGAGAACAATAAATATGCTTTGTATATTTTTCTTTAAAAACTCTAGTGGGAAAAATTGGTGTGTGCCCTTGTGAGCAAGAGAGGTTGAGAGAGATGAGAAATTGTAGTGTGACACCTTTATGCACCATTCATACAACACTAGATCGGCAACGCGCCTTGGCGCAAGGGTGCCGGTCCAACCGATATGATCAAGCAGTGAAAGATCAAACCGATATGATGCAGTAGTAGGAAGGCAAGTTTTGCCCGTGTAACAGAACAACTTGAACAACTTAATCAAAGAAGTGCTACTTGCCGAACCCCAACTTCCACATGTGCGTGTCTATCATGCTGGAAATATATCAAGGAATTAATCAAAAAAAGTTCAATGATCAAATATCTGATATAACCCTTTTTCAATCAACACGTGATATTACTCAATGTATCTCAGGATGGAAATATATCTGATATTACTCACAGAGGTGATGGTAGATACTAACATCAGTAAACACTCCGCAAAATATCTAAAAAATGGCCCTATCTAAGCTAGAAATCAAAATCGGGCCATAGTAATAGTCCCAGATAACTGATGTACACCGTTTTTCACACTGCATAATAGTAAACTACATGGTTGAATATTAGATATATAACTTTGTCCATTTGATTTGGTTGCATGTTGCAACACATGTTGCCTTGCCGGCGTCGACGCCGATGCCCGATTGCTCTTGGAGGCGTCAACGGTGGTGTCAAGGCTGAGGGCGAGGAAGAAGGGCTGGTCGCCGGCTCCATCTTGCATCTGCAGAACCCAAGAACTAAAGATCAACTAAATGATGTGCTGTGAAGGCTATACGTGGTTGAATGAGTTTGCATCAGGAAACATGTCAGCTCAAATGAGAACTTCCACAAGAAAAATGCTCTCAGTGATAGCGTTTGTTTATCGCTGCAGATAAAACTGGTTATGTAGTGCGGTCCTCTGTTTATGTACATGCCATGCCAGACTACTATGCATGAAATTTATACTAAGACATGGCTGCTAATCTTTCTAGTTTATATATTCTACTTTGACACTGTCTTTTCTTTCTTTCACTGAAACGTGCAACTAAAAATACCAAACCAGGGTTTACAATCAAAGACAAGATTGCATTATGATACTTGAGCAGAAACCAATACAATTACTCAGGTGTTGGTGCGGTAGTGTTTTATGCACGAGACCATCTATAGAAGCTAACGAAATTATGCAATACAAAGTGTGTGGAGGCACATGGATAGTTCCCATCAGGTCTCTTCTATATGTTGAGATGTTGAAAAACATATAGGTGCATGAAAACTGTTTCACACAACTGAAATGCCAATGGATGACTGATTGAGTCTAGGCGTGAAATAAGAGCTGAGTACCCTCAAGAATTGAATGATAAAGTAATTAGCATGGCATAGAAACAATTTACAGGACATGATGGTTTCTGCAGCTCACAGGCATATATAACCGCAAATAAAGCTAAACCGCCCTCAGTATTACCTCAGGGGGCTTCACACTGATCCTGGCACATACATATAAATTTCTCTCATGTAGATCGTCCACAAGCATGTCCACAACCTCGTTAGGCAATGTCACGTTAGCATGGTTTCCCTATGAAAAAACACACGCAGAGAACACATTCAGTAACCAACAAGCATCTTATAATCCTAGACAACAACATCAAAAGATATAGGCTGTCAACATTACAAAGACATAATTTATCCTACTCAAATCACAGGCAACTAAGGAAAGCCCTTAAATGCCCTACAAAGACAACAATGCAGAGAAACAACAATCACAACTTGCATAAGCAGCGTATGAGTTGCGAAAGACTGGAGAACAAAATAGGCATTCACCTTTTCATCAGTCACGACCATATGTATACTCTTGATAGGGCCATCATCAAAGCCACCTCGCTGGTACCATAACCTAGAGATGTGCAAGTTAATTCGCTGGTTCCAAACGGCCGAGGAGATGCCAGTTAGGTCGACAAAAGGTGGCACCGGTGGGGGGTAACCTACGATAAGAAAGCAGGAAAGTAAGCAACAGCAAAAGCAAAAAACAATCGAAGACGAGAGGCAGGGGCGGGTACCTCTTGATCAATCTCCAGATCCATCGCTCTTGTCGATAGACTCCGTCGGCAAAGGGAAACAGAGACCGGTGTCTGTAATCTTGCAAGCCCAACACACTGCTTACTGTAGTTTGCCGTGTGTCATCAAATACATTATATATGCATCTGAATTTAGTAGATATCCTCATATAGGTAATACAACATAAAGAGAAAATAGAAACTAAAGCTCAAGACAGTTGTGCATTTTACAAAAAAAATTGAACATAATATACATAGAAGAAACTTTGGATGCCAGTATTAACGCAGCAAGGGATCTAATAATTTTTCAGTGCACAAGTAGCCTAAGCAATACATTTTCTGAGTGGGTATATATAGAACCTTACACTAGTAGAAAACAGGGCTTTCGTCCAGGCCAGTTTAGCCCATTAGTCCCGGTTCAATCCAGAACCGGGACCAATGGAGCTATTTGCCCCGGTTCGTGAGCCCAGGGGGCCGGCCGGGCCACGTGGGCCATTGGTCCCGGTTCGTCCGGACCTTTTGATCCCGGTTGGCGGGACGAACCGGGTCCAATGGTCCTGGCTCCTGGCCCACCACTATTGGTCCCGGTTGGTGGCATGAACCGGGACCAAAGGCTTCCCTTTAGTCCCGGTTCATGCCACCAACCGGGACTAAT